ATCTGCAGCAGGAAGGAAGGAGTCAACACCCCCTCTTTAGCCATTAAGTCAGAGAGAGACACTTTAACTATGTATACGACACTGTCTTTTTCTCCAATTAATAGCCAATATCATGCTTAGTCTGAAGAATAATGAACTTTTAAACTTTTAAAATGTCTTCTAAAGAGAGCTGGGCCAGTGAAAAGATCTTCTGGTGAGATCTATTCCTTCCAGTTTTTAAATACCCCATACATTTTGAGTTAGTCTATTAACTTTGGCAATAAAAAGGTGTGTTCTAGTATTAGTCAGTCCTTTAGGCAGGCATGAGAGGGCGAGGCAGGGTCCTCATTAAAGTTCTTTTGTGGACCTAGCTCCGATTCACGAACAAAACATGTGGCTAGGCAGGGAATTAAACATTAAATGGTTAAACATGGAGATATTCCCGTTTGGTTGAAATCCTGTTCTCATCCTGGAAGATGAGCACCAACAAGAAGGGACATGCCTTGTCCAAAATCTGTCACCAGTTTAAGAGAGACATTGGCTGACTGCAGCTTCTGCAGAAATTTTTAAATAGAACTGAACTGCTTAGAATAATAATTTGAAAGGCATGTTGTCTGCCTTGTATCATTAACCTAAGAACAGAGTGTCAGTCCTCTCTACAACCTAACATACTGAGAAGAACATTACAAAATGAAGAACCACTTTATTTATCATGCAGGTGCAAGATGCAATGTTTAGTACAAAGGAGCATCAGTCTTCCTCCAAGGTCTTGAGATACTATTACAAGAGAAATACCCGTTATTGATTAATAACTTTGTTTTTCACAGCTCTAGACACTCTTTTCACCACGAACTTTCCAGAACTGGCTTCTAACCTGTTTTCTGGTGTACCTTTGGATTATCTTGCTAAGAGAACTGGTATGGGACATTATCAATCCTCAGCATGTCTTCAGATGGGCCAAGGGTCTGCCATCACTGCTATAGAAGCAAACTACAGTACCTTTTGTAACTCAGCCTACAACAAAACCTATGTCTAGCTTGTGGATCCCTTTAGAGGTTTCCGAATTTGAAGGCCTTCAATCTCACTGTTATCTTCTTTTTCTGCCTTCTAAAATAAGAAGGTGCCCAGTGCCAGCATCATGGCACAGGTATGGAAGAAATGGCTTAGCAGGTGCAAGGGCTGAACCCTATCTCAGTGGCTGGAGATCTGGCAGTGACTCTGATGGAACACAGCACAACCACACCATGGCCAGCTGAAGCAGACTCAGACCTCATACCTCCTCCTGCTGGGCCCTGAATAGATATGCCTCCATTATGTGATCCCGGTGATCCCATTTGGGCTCTGCCTGCACCTCTGGTGAAGGTTACTGAAGAAGTGCATACACTTAAGCAGATTCTACGCTGATATATAGAAGATACCAAGACTGCCCAGTAATTAATGTCTATGCAATCTCCTCTCTGAGTGAGTACATTTAACATACTTTGTCTCATTTCTGAGTTTCAGAAAACAGAATAATTTCTATGTCATCCCTCCCAATAGAGTTGGTTCAATTAGGTGAACTGCGCTAGTTTCTGAACTACCTCTGGCCTTCAAACTATCCCTCTCCAATGACTTTCACATTAGCACTGAGATGCAGGGGTTTTTTCCAGTTTCAATTTCAGAGATTTATTTTGAGGCTACAGCATTTGCTTGGCATTTTTATTGAACATTTTAGGGAGATTATGAATTTACTAATCCAGGCTCTTTTTCAGCATTCATTTCACCAGCACAAAGGGTTTATAGATTTAGGATAATTTGGATATCGTGGATTATCTCAGTAAAAAAGGAAAAGTGATCCTTTTTGAACTGTTGGTTTGCTTTTTTGAACTGGAGATCTATGGATGGATAATACATTTTTATCAAAAGCTTATGACGGAGCTGTCAGCAAAGCATGCATGTACTTTTAAGCCTGACTGTCTGTTGGGCCCTTTTATCCAAACACTTGCAGCTCCTACATCAAGATGAATGATACCACAATGTACACTAGTATGTAGTTCCGGGATTTTAAGTGTAGGTTAAAGCATAGCACCAGTTCCTGACATCTCTTATCTAATGTTACAGTCAGTATCAGGGTGCAGGAAACATTTAAAGCTTTTGAATGAAGTAGGGAAAATAAAAATGGTCCTTTAAACCTTCACTTACTTCATTACTTATATTCAGTTTCTGTATTGAACTTCTTGAGGGTTTAAAATATCCTACGCAAAAGTGGTTCACAGTGTTGCATGGCTGCAAGGCAGGCAATTCTGATTTGACAACAGGATGAAAAAGGTTTTTAACAGTGGTAAAATGTTAGTAATCCTGGTGTAGGTAATACAATCCTTTGTATGAAATAATAGGTACAGTCTGGTCATGTATCCCTGAGACAAATGCCAAACTGGAGGAAATGCAAGAAAGGGCTGTTAAGATGATCAGGGAAATGGAGACCTGTCTGTGTGAGAAGAGCTTATTTAGTCTCTGTCAATGAGGACTGAGAGGTGATATGACTGGTCTCCATGAATATTTTAGAAGGCAAACATTGGACAGAAAAAAAGCTAATTAACTAAAGGATAATGTTGGCACAATGACAAACAGGTATAAATTGACCATGAATACATTTAAGCACGAAATAAGAATATTTCTAGCCACCAAAGGAAACAAGTTTTGACACAGGAGATGCAGCAGTAAAATAGCTAAGAAAAGTAATGATTTTCTGTAACAGTTTGTGTCAGTTTATGACATGGCTAGTTGCAACCACAATGGAAGAGATTCAAGAGCTCTACCTTGGCCACATTTGGCCAATATCTTTTACCAATCAAGTGAAAAACAGGCTTCCAGATGCACTTGGAGACTGTAGTATGTGAGATGAGGAAAAGGAGGGAGGTTGCTCCCTAAATGCTCTGTAATCTAAGTCCTTGTCCCTTTGCCCTCCTGGTGAAGAGAGTAGCTGGATTCAAAATGAAACATCCAAAGTTTAAACACTTGATACTTAACTCAGTTGCAACTGAACATTTAAATCTGTCTTTTATAAAATACCTTGTGAATCTTAACTAAAGGACAGCTATTTTTTTTTCCTATGCGTTAACAATGTTTTAATTTCTATTCTACTTCCTCTTAAAGAAGATCTCAACACAAACACTGGGTTTCAATCTTTGTTACATATTCCAAAAATTCCTCCAAGTTCCATTGCAGCTCTGACCACCAACTCAGCAGAATGCTAAGCTGAAGTTAACGGAAGGGAGTAGATTATCTGGGGTGTACGTAACACATCCCCCGTCCCAGTTCCACTCAAAGCTTCCTCTCCCACTCCCAGTTAGTCTGAATTTTTCTGACAGTTCAGACAATACAGAAATGTCATGGAAGGACAGAAAACCAGTATTTCCCAAGAATTCTGCGAGTGATCAAGTTAAAAGAAAAATAACCAAAGAAAGCTTGTAAGAATAATAGTCAGCTTCATCTGTCCACCAGAGAGAAATACCCTCAACTTTTCCAAGTATCTCCAAGCGTAAAATGCAGTAACTGTAGCACTCCTTGCAGTGTCAGTATGCCAATTTTAGCCTATTTCCAGTTCCATAAACAAACGCCATAACAAATGATTTTAGCAGAGTTGAATTCCATAACTACAGCCAGCTTTTGCAGCTTCCAACAAGCTGTTATTTCAGTTTACACTCTGCGCAGTGGGTACCCACCATCACGTAAAAACGAGTCTTTCCTACAGGAAAAGAGACCAGCCCAGGATTTACGTTGACAGATACCATCAGGCTGGCTTGTGCTCATCATGTCCTGCGCTGAGTCACGCACCTTCAAGTTTCCACACTTTGTCAATAAATTATCTCGTATTTCTGCTACAGTTCTTGTTTGTAGAAAACCCTTTGTCCTTAGTACAGAAAAGGGCTCTGTACAGGTTCTGTATAGTTCTTAGTACAGAAAAGGCTTCAATCAATTTATTTATTTTAGAGAGAATTTATCCCTGTTATTTAGATTGAGTGGTCGGTCCTTCAGACTGAGGGGGGGGGG